CCGGGTGCGGTGGTACACATCTGTAATCCCAGGTACTCAAGAGGCTGAGGCAGGAGAATCGCTTGAACCCGGGAGGCAGAGGTTGCAGTGAGCCAAGATCGCGCCACCACACTCCAGCCTGGGCGACAGAGCATGACTCTGTCTCAAAAATAAATAAATAAATAAATAAATAAATAAATATAAAAAATATATGTACATATAAAAAACAAAATACTTATTTTCATGATTGTTTCATTTTTTTCCAAGCTGAGGTCCTGACCAAATGTTTTCCCATGGTTTTTGTATATTTCTGGTTCCCTCAAAGTGGGCTTGCAGCGTGCTGGGGAGGAGGCCTCTCAATGGGTGGGTGATTGGGAAGCCACGCCCACAAGGAAGGAAGAAAAAAACTAAAGTTGCCTGCTCTAAGGGCTGCACCTCTGTTTAGCCAACAATTTTCTTGAGGCCAGTCATAGTGCTAGGCTCATTCCATCATCTCCAGTTCTGAGATCAACACTGTCTGGCAGGTATTTTATGGATGAGGAAACCAAAGCTCATAAAATTAAGTGGTTTGTTTATGCAGTAATGCAAGAAAGTGACAGTACTGGGAGGTGGAACCAGTTTTTTTCTTTTTTTTTTGAAGGAGTTTCACTCTTGTCACCCAGGCTGGAGTGTAATGGAGCAACCTCAGCTCACTGTGACCTCTGACTCCCGGTTTCAAGCAATTCTCCTGCCTCAGCCTCCAGGACAGCTGGGATTACAGGTGCCCGCCACCCGGCCCGGCTAATGTTTTGTATTTTTAGTAGAGATGGGGTTTCACCATGTTGGCCAGGCTGGTCTCCAACTCCCGACCTCAGGTGATCCACCTGCCTCGGCCTCCCAAAGTGGTGGAATTACAGACGTGAGTCACCGCGGCTGACCCAGGCTTTTCTTTTTGATTCTAAAGGCCCTCCAGATCCAGTACTTTATCCTGACCCTGCAGAGCTCAGGATCTGTGGTTCAGGCCTGGGGCTGAATATGGAATTCATATTCATATGAATATGGCACACAGGTACATTCCGGGCAAGTGTGAGGGGAGTCTGGCTTCCGGGGCCCGCCGTAGGCCCCTAGTCCCAGGGCCTGTATTGGAGGAGAGATTGACTCTTTCCTCTGCTCATCCTGGGATGGGAAGTCGGGGCCTTGGGACAGATGCAGTACAACCCCTGCTCCTGGAAACTGACAGAGACCCACCGAATCCAGCCCCTATTCCTAGGCTGGGCCCCTGCCCATCTCCCTGACCACACCACTCTGAAGGGCTCTCATTTGCAGACACCCCATTGCCCTTCTAAAAACCTCTCCCGGCCAAGCTCGGTGGCTCATGCCTGTAATCCCAGCACTTTGGGAGGTGGAGTTGGGTAGATCACCTGAGGTCAGGAGTTCCAGACCAGCCTGGCCAACATGGTGAAACCCTGTCTCTACTAAAAATACAAAAATTAGCTGGGTGTAGTAGGGGGCGCCTGTAATCCCAGCTACTTAGGAGGCCGAGGCAGGAGAATTGCTTGAACTCGGGAGGCAGAGGTTGCAGTGAGCTGAGATCCTGCCACTGCGCTCCAGCCTGGGCAACCGAGCAAGACTGTCTCAAAAAAACAAATGAAAAACCTTTCTCACCCATTCAGTCAGTCCCCAAGTCTTAGCTCAGTCCCATGAGTGACAGTGCATGTCAGTGGCCATCATATCTCAAGCCATCCTGGTCCCAACATACATTCCAGGGAAAAGAAGGAATCCTGGGGCCTTGGGAATTGATTCAAAGCAGAACAGCTTCATGAATGGCCCGGCCAACGGAAGGCAGCCTAGGCTGAGCCCTACTGTCCCCTCCCTGTCATCTGATGAGTAGACCACCAGGGAGCCACACACATGACAGATGATGAGGGCAGAGGCTGCAAGACAGATACCTGCTAGGTCTCCGTGTCAGGTACAGTGGCTGCTCAGGAATGAAGCACATGGGCCGGCTGTGGTGGCTCATGCCTGTAATCCCAGCACTTTGGGGGGCTGAGGCGGGTGGATCACTTGAGGTCAGGGGTTCGAGACCAGCCTGGCCAACATGGTGAATCCCCGTCTCTACTAAAAAATACAAAAATTAATCGGGCGTGGTGGCACATGCCTGTCATCCCAGCTACTCGGGAGGCTGGGGCACGAGAATCACTAGAACCTGAGAGGCGGAGGTTGCATTGGGCCGAGATCACACCACTGCACTCCAGCCTGGGCGACAGAGCGACACTCCATCCCAAAAAAAAAAAAAAAAAAAGAGTGAGGCACATGGACTTTGGAGTCACATGGACCCTGGTTTGAATCCTCACAACTCCTATAATGGCTGTGTGACCTTGAGCAAGCCACTCAGCCACTCTGAGCTTCAGCTTCCTGTCTATAACAGTGGGGGCTGCTCTGGTCCTGCTGCACGGCCACACCTCTGATATGTGGTGTCAACAAGTGCTCAGTTCTGCCAAGACCTGGGCTTCCCTCCGACTCCCATTAGAAACCAGCCCATCTGGGATTCCTTCTCCAAAAGAGTACTGAGCTTGCCAGACCCAGCTGTACCTGAAGTCAACGACAGGAACTGCCTGGAGGGCATTTCCTGTGTCCTTTTCCTGTGTCCGAGGATAGGCACCTCGGCTCCAACTGGGCTGCTGGCCTGGGGGTTGCTCTCTCCCTCCTGCACTCCCTGTCATTTGTATCAAAGTCCTTTTCTCCATTGCTTCCTGAGTGGGTCATTAGGTGGAGATCCACAGCCTTCCTCCATCCTGATCACATGAATTCCCCCAATCTGGAAAGTATTCACAATTTTGTGTCACTAATTCCAGAGACTAATAGAGATTACACACACACATACACAGGCCTTCAAATGACAACCTGCCAGGAGAAAAATGCTATTTTTTTTTTTTTTGAGACGGAATCTTGCTCTGTCGCCCAGGCTGGAGTGCAGTGGCGCGATCTCGGCTCCCTGCAAGCTCTGCCTCCAGGGTTCACACCATTCTCCTGCCTCAGCCTTCCAAGTAGCTGGGACTACAGGCGCCCGCCACCACGCTCAGCTAATTTTTTGCATTTTTAGTAGAGACGGGGTTTCACCATGTTAGCCAGGATGGTCTCGATCTCCTGACCTCATGATCCACTTGCCTCGGCCTCCCAGAGTGCTGGGATTACAGGCGTGAGCCACTGCGGCTGGCCGAAAAATTCTGTTAAGGGAAAGATATCACTTTGGGAAGCCAAGGCAGGTGGATTGCTTGAGCCCGGAAGTTTGAGATCAGCCTGGGCAACAAAGGGAGACCCCGTCTCTACAAAAAAACCAAACAAACCACAAAAATTAGCTGGGCGTGGTAGCACGCACCTGTAGTCCCAGCTACTTGGAAGGCTGAGGTGGGAGGATCACTTGAACCCAGGAAGCAGAGGTTGCAGTGAGCCAAGGTCACACCACTGCACTCCAGCCTGGGCAACAGACAGACCATTTCCTTGTTTCCAAAAATGAAAAAGGGAAAGATATTATTGGGTCAACAGAGAAAACTAGAGTGTGAACAGTAAACTGGATAAAATAATTGCAACAATGTTCAATTTACTGAAGTTGGTAAAGGAAACGTGATTGTGTAAGAGAATATCCCTGTTCTCAGAAAAGACTCACTTAAGTATTTGGTGGTAAATGATATATGTAACTTTCCCTTGAACGATCCAGGAAAATAATGCACATCCATTTATACACATATCATACATACTCATAGACATTTGCTTATACGCACTTACCACAGGCACTGATTATAGACACACATACACACATATGAGTGAGAGGGAGAGGGAGGGAATGGAGGAGGGAGACAAAGTGATCGAATAATGAAACAAGGGTAAAATGTTATCGATTGAGAGTCTGGCTAAAGGGCATGTGAGTATTTTTCATACAATTTTAATTTTGCAACTTTTATTTTTGAGACAAAGTCTCACTTTGTTGCTCAGGCTGGGGTGCAATGGCACAATCTCACTGCAACCCCGTCTCCTGGGTTCAAGTGATTCTCCTGCTTCAGCCTCCTGAGTAGCTGGGATTACAGGTGCGCGCCACCACGCCCAGCTAATTTTTGTGTTTTCAGTAGAGATGGGGTTTCACCATGTTACCCAGGCTGGTCTCGAACTCCTGACCTCAAGTCATACACCCACCTTGGCCTCCCAAAGTGCTGGGATTACAGGTGTGAGCCATGTGCTTGGCCACAACTTTTCTGTAACTATTCGAAGTAAAAAAAAAAAAAAAAAAGATAACCTCTAAACCTCAACTTACTTTGTCTAACTTTTATAGACACAGCCTATGTTATTTGCTCTGGGGTTTTCCGTTTTAAACCTGACCTTTCTGGCTCTGGGGTTTTCCATTTTAAAACTGACCTTTCTGGTTCCGGGTGAAGGCAAAGACAGATGACATAGGATTATAGTATGTCTGTATGTTTTCAACTATTTCTCCTGAAACTTGGAAACATATTAGACCATGTGGGACACCACGCAGATGGGAATGGGAGATAAATGTGTGTTCATATATACTCCTCCACAAATATATATGTCTCGGGCTGGGCGTGGTGGCTCACGCCTGTAGTTCCAGCACTTTGGGAGGCCAAGGCAGGCAGATCATTTGAGGTCAGGAGTTTGTGACCAGACTGGCCAACATCGTGAAGCCCTATCTCTACTAAAAATACAAAAATGAGCAGGGTATGGTGGTGGGCACCTGTAATCCCTGCTACTCGGGAGGCTGAGGCAGAGGAATCATTTGAACCTGGGAGACGGAGGCTGCAGTGAGCCCAGATCGCGCCATTGCACTGAAACCTGGGTGACAGAGTGAGACTCCGTCTCAAAAGAAACCCCAAAAACCAAAAAGCAAATATACACGTCTCTCTCCCTATTTCTCTGTTGATTGATTTAAACTTCGAGATGCCAACTACAGTGCCTATCAGGCTGGCAGGCAGGTAATGTGAATGAATGAAACAGGCCAGGCAGAAGAAAAGTCAAGTACCAATACTACAATAAAACTTTCTTGATTTTTACTGAGTAGTGAGGCATACAATGTCATATAAACAAGTATGATACTGCAGATTATATTTCTGATTCAAAGTGGAAAAAAAACTGAAAAAAAAATGTTTAAGAATTCATTTTGTCGGCTGGGCACAGTGGTTCATGCCTGTAATCCCAGCACTTTGTGAGATCGAGGCGGGTGGATCACCTGAGGTCAGGAGTTCGAGACCAGCCTGGCCAACATGGTGAAACCCCGTCTCTACTAATACAAAAATTAGCCGGGCCTGATGGCGAACGCCTGTAGTCCCAGTTACTCGGGAGCCTGAGGCAGGAGAATCGTTCGAACCCAGGAGCTGGAGGTTGCAGTGAGCCGAGATTGCGCCACTGCACTCCAGCCTGGGCGACAGAGCAAGACGCCGTCTCAAAAGAGAAAAAAATAATTCATTTTGTCATCTCCTTTGGGCCTAGAAGACTCCAGCCCTTCCCACCATAGGGTCCTGCCAGGAGTTTTCTCTCTATCACGTTGCGATGTGCAGTACAGAGTCCCACTGGGAATCCTTTAACTGGGAGCAGTATTTTGTTTTGCTCAGTTTCATAATGGAGAAGAGCTGCTCGCAGATGTAGGTGCTCCCGAACATGGAGAGAACCTTTGCGCAGTGGTGCTTGTATTTCGGGTAGCTGCCCCAGAGGTACTTGTAGAATTCTGGTATTCCCACCTTGTCGTATTTCGTCTTCAGGACCGTGTTGCATTGCAGGTCGATCACCTCCATCTGGAGCTCCTCGTGCACACTGTCGATCTTCATGGAGAACGGGGAGCTGAACACAGCCAGTTCGCTTTCGTAGAGTTTGAAATCGGACAACCTTTTCTGGAATTCGGCCTTGAGTTCCGCGATTTTGGGAATGTAGTTCAGGCCATCGCTTTCATTTCTGGAAACCGATTTCAGGGTGGGAAAGTGGGCCAGATTATTCCTCGCCAAATGAGTCTCCCAGAGGCACAGTTTTGCTAGGAACGCCCGGATCAAGTCATACATCTGCGTGACGATTTGGGAGTGCCCTTGGAGAGAGATGTTCAAAGTGTTCAGGTGCATCGTCATGTCAACCAAGAAGGCCAGGTCTCGGATCCAATCTATGGAGCTCAGTTGAGGCAGGGGTTTGCCTCTGGACGACATGAAGGAGTCGATTTCTTCCAACGATTCGAAAAATCTCTTTAGCACCAGCCCGCGACTGAGCCACTTAATCTCCGTGTAGTACAGGAGGCTACCATATTGGCTGTCCAGCTCATAGAGCAAGGTTGTGAACTCGCTGTGGTTCAGTCCCCGGGAGCATATCCAGTTCACGGAGTTCACTACCACGTCCATGACGTGGTCCATCTTCAGCTTCTGAGCACAAAGTGATTCCGGATGAATTATACAACAGAGGGACTTCAGTTCCGCACCCTTGCAGAACGTGGCCACCCTGCTCTTCAGTTTTGTGACAAGCCCGTTATTGGCATCCACCATCGCCGGGGTGCCAGTGGAGGCCACGCTTACTAATTTCGACCAGTCGATACAGAACTTTTTCAGACTCTTCTCAACACGCGAAAAGATCTCGTTTCCAGATTTTGTACCCGTCATGGGCACTGTGTCCAGAAGTTCTTCGGACACATCGAAGTTCTCATCGACGCCGCGGATGAAAATGGCCAACTGGGTGGTATTATTTATATCCGTGATCTCATCGATTGCGATAGAATATGCCACAAAAGACCTGATTTTTTCACGTAACTTCTCCCATAAGTTCCCAGCCAGGTCCTCCACAGGCTGCACGGGGGATTTCTGGGTTGGACTTGCGTTTGCCAACACTTGTTTTTGCTCGGGACACTCGGTGTCTGACGAGCCTAAGAGATACTTTCTGAGCCCTTTTTTCAGCTCTTGAAGCTTCTCGTCACGCATTCTTTCCGTATACTGGTCGTAGTGCTTGCTGTGGTTGGTTTGATAGTGGCGTCTTAGGTTATATTCTTTGGACACAGACATGCTTTGTTTGCATATGAGACATGTTGGAATATTCTGTACTTCCACGAAGAAATACGCTCTCTCCCACTTTTCTTGAAACACACGGCCCTCTTGGTCTATCTTTCGTTTTCCCACTTTTGACAGAGACAGGGAGACAAAAATATTTCACTTTTCTCTTAACGTTACTATGAGGAAAACAACAGCAAATGCTTGATGAGGCACGTGAGGGAGGAAGCGGGTGGGGCGGGGTGTGGTTAACAGGAGGGTGACCCACCCTGCAGAGAGGGACGGCTGACCCTCAACTCCAGCAAACTGCTGCCACGCCAGCTGTGGCCAGACGTCGTCTCAAAAAAAAAAAAAAAAAAAAAAA